AAGCCTTGTTCTTGCTCAAAAGGGCGCCTGTGTAGTGTGTCCCCTGCCGCCACCCAGCAGGGGCTGGAGCCCTGGGCTCTGATGCAATTGCACACACATTGACAGCGACTGGCTAATGGGCTGCTGCGCGCCCCTGTGGAGCCGGGCCTTGGCCGCCTCTTTCTGCCCTGATTACCAGCGCCAGCCATGGGCTTAACCCTTGTGTTGATGCAGCATCCTCAGTGGAGCCACAGCCCACAGGAGGCTGGTGCTTGTCATCTGAGGTGTGCACGGTGACCCACAAGGTCCCACAGCTAAGAGCAAAGCAGCGTACCAGGGACAGTGTGCCTCAAGGAGAGGCTATACTAACCATCCCCAGCCTGTGTCTGCACAGGTGTGCCCTGAGACCTGGTATCTATGCTGTCTCCCACGCCAGCCATAGTGTGAGGATCCCTAGAACCAGGAGCTTCCCATACAGCCTCCTGTCCCTACCCAAGGCTCTTCCCTACAAGGGAAGTCTCTCTCTTCCCTCCTCTCCCTTCCCCCTCCTGCTTCTCCTGAGCTCTCAGAGGACCCGGCCCAGTCTTTCAGTCCTTTGAGCAGAGACTTGAGGTGGGTCCCCAGTGCTGAGAGCGGCTGTTGTATTTGCCTCAGGTGGCCGTGTGGGGCGGATTCTTGCTGATGGTGGAGTGTAGGCTCCTGGTTTGTTGACACACAGCCAGGACAGTGGATTCAGAAGCTGCTGCATGTCCATAGCCCTGAGTGCCAACATGCTGTGTCCCTACCTCACGTGCAGTATGAGGCCCTTGGCCTGCCCTGACCTAATGCTCATCAGCAGGCTTCTGCTTACACTGTCCCCTGTAAACAAGCCCCCAGCTCCTCTGGAGGCATCTCGTGGTAGGTCCCTGTCATCCTGTGTAGCCTCTGCCTTTACTGAGGTGGGAACCCATGACACCTGGGGTTCTCACACTCACCTCAGGTCCCCAGGGAGACATGGTGGCCGTGGGTGCTTGCCCCTTCGTGGCCACCCAGACCATCCTCTCCCATACTACTGGCTTCCCCATGGATGGCTGTGCCACTTCCAGATCCATGTGCGTTTAAGTAAAAATGTCCTTATTGGCCAGGCGTGATGGTGCATGTCTTTAATCTCAGCACTCAGGAGGCAGAAGCAGGTGGATGTGAGTTCAAGGCCAGCCTGGTCTACATAGTGAGTTCCAGGCCAGCTGGAAGCAGTGAGCACTGAAGGTACGTGATCCCAAGCTCTACCGCTTCACACCTCCGAAAGATCCATTAGCGATCAAGCGGACTTGATAGCCTCTGTGCTGTGAGCAGCTGCCCTGACCCCGACACCCTCTCCCTAGCTATGGAAGGGCCTTACTCGGGCAGCAGCCAGGTCAGGTGGCTCTTGACTGAGACCACTTGCAGCCCAGGATAGTCCCTCATTGCAGCAGTAGCCAAATCAGGATACACAGAAGCTGTCCCACCATGTGCCACTACTGGTGGACCCATGTGTGTTTCCTGGGTGCGTCAGGTCTGCTGTGGCCCCCTCTGCTGAGCAGGCTGGGGATGGGTGACAGACCCACTCCTAGTGTGTCTGGGCACCCATGTGGCTCAGCCTCAGACCTACACCCCCAGAGTTCAAGGTCACCTTCAAGTCCTGTGCTCAGGGGATTTGTGGGGTGTTTTTGTTTTTGTTTTTTTGAGTCAGAATCTCCCTATAGACCAGGCTGGCCTTGGTCTCAGAAAGATCTTCCTGCCTCTGTCCCCTGAGTGCTGGGACTAAAGGTGTGGGCCCTGCTGAACCTTGTTCAGGTTTTGTTTTGATTCTGAGATCTGTAGTCCTGGAATGGCAGCTGGTGGCCCCTCCCCTTTGTGTCACAGTGACACTGACCTCCACCCTGCACAGGCCACAATGTCCTCTGTGTGCACCTTCCAAGTCCACCAGGCTGTGTCCAGAACCACACAGAGTTGCCCTTTCCTCTTCCTGCCATTGGCCTGACTGAGGCCACAGGGTCTTAAGGATGTGTCTACCACCATCTTCTCCATGTCCTGTTGGTGAGGACACTACACTAGTGCAGATGCACAGGGATGTGTCTGCGCAGCAGCGTGATCTCCTCTGGCTTCCTGCCCCTACCCCAGACAGCAAGCTTTCCCTTTCCCAGCCTCTGGGCAAGTGGCACCATCTCTTTAGTGGGAAGGGTGGGAGGACTTCCAGGGAAACTGAGGGGTGGGGAGGACTCCTTGGAAAACTCCCAGGAGACTGCCCTTAAGAGGGTTGGGCTGCAGTGGGCAGCCTGGGGCTTGGGAGGAATGACCTATGTTGGGGGGAGCTTTTCTACTGTGCTGTGTGGAGCCCAGAGCCAGCACGCGGCTTATATCTGGTGTTGCCATGCTGGTTTGATACTCGGGGCCTGGGACCTGCCATGTGTTCTTCCAGGGGCACCCGTGGGAACTTGTGGCACCTCTGTGGCAGGATGAGTATGCTTTGTTCCTCCCCCCTAGGCCCGGTCCTTCCCGGGCTCCATCCTCCTGTCCCTGGGCCCTGTCTTTTCTTCCTAGGTCTGCATTGATGGCAGTTAAGCAGTGAGCATCCTCCGGCCTGGCCTGTGTGCAGACACTGTGAAATTAAGACCTTGCCCTGCGGCCCACAGGCAGCTGACATTTAGAGGCCTCTCCTGGCACTTGACACTGCCCTCAGCCTGAGTGCTGTTGGCCTTGGGCCAAATTGGTGGATCAAGGCCACCATCATTGTGGGAAAGTTGTTGGAGGTACTGCTTGTCACAATGACCCCATAGGGACTGGGATAGATGGGGCTCGGGGCCTTACTAAAGGGGCCAGAAGGAGGCAGGTGGGGCAACTGGGACACACAGGCCTTGGGGCTGGCTGTCATCATTGCAGGCCTGCATCGTCCTCCAGACACCCTCATTTAATTTTTAACTCGCAGGCCTTTGCTTATTTATTTTCATTGTTCTTGATGATAATTCTAAGCCATTAGAGGGGAAAATTATATTCAAAAATGCTGTTTCACACTTTATTTGTTTGATGATTTAGAGCGATAGAAAAAAAGCACATTTGTTGGCTTTTATAGTCTGGTAATTATTCACATCCATCAAACCCTTCCAGGGAATAAACAAAACACCGAGAAAATTGCACTATTAATAGTGGCTTGGTGGCGGGTGGAAGGAAGGCCGTGTGTCTGGTGTGGGGGACATGGTGATGGGACTTGGTGGCCTGGCACAGCCTCTCCATTCCCTTGCACCAGGACCAAGCCACTAGTGATAGGGGATCCATGCACCATGATCCCCCTTACCTGAGACCCACATAGGACTGTTGGAGCCATGCACAGGCGTCCCCAAAACAGCTCTGCCACTCTTAGTCTCTGGCCTGCTCAGCAAGGTCTGGTAGCTGCTTTTGCCCCAAAGAGCCTTGGCTTTTTGGGGTGGCAAGACTTGCCTCTGAAGGAGGGAGCCAGATCATCCATCCTGTCCTTCTGGAGGCCCCAACCATTGCTCCCTTCCAGAACCTTCTATGCAAGTGATCCTTGCCCTTCCCATGCTTGTTTCCCATAGCCTGGTAAGCCACCATCATGCTGAAGAGCAGATACAGCAGGCGACTTATCTAGAGCCGCATGTGTACTTTCTCCCAGAAGCCTCTACTCTATTTCACTGTGCCTGGCTGTGTCTCTTGGTGGGGAGGGTCCCCTCAGTGAACCTCCCCATCAGTTTCCAAGCTTGCTTCTACCCATTCCTCCTGGGTCTGCACAATGTCACCTGGCCCAGTTGCCAGGGAGACCATGTCTTCAGAGCCCACTGGAGTTTCAGAATGGGGTTGCTGGTAGCTAAGAATCTTCCAGAAGTGTTTTATACAAAATGAGAGAGCAGGTGGAGGGGCAGGCACAGGGCAGGTGCGCATGGGGCAAGGGGTTCTGTGGGGAAGGTTCCAGAGGGTTCCACCTCCTGATGCTCCTGATCACTGTGACCCCAGGGTCCCTAGGAGGAGTGGGCTCAGAATCTGAGGCACCATGTGGAAGGTGCCTATCCCAGAGGTGTCCACAATCCCTGGCAGGTCCTCTTGGACCCTGCACACAGCCTGGCTTCCAGAAGCTTCTCCATCAACCAGCCTAAATACCCTTGGGATGTCTTCAGCCAGGTGTGTTGACTGGCTAGTGGGTGGCACAGTCTGTGGCCAGAGAAGTTTCCAGCGCCCCGCTGACTGTCCATCTATAGCCTCATCTCCTCAGGGTCATCCCTGGCCTGCCACCTTCAGGCTATGCCTCCATCCCCATAACAGCATCCTCCTCTCAGTGTGTGTATTAAGCCTCTACCAGATTTTAATTAGTCTAACCTTCATAACTCCCAATCACAGGCACTAATTAATGGCAGGGTGCGTTGTGACCAGGCGCCGGAGCAAAATTGATTCTTCCAGGCTAATCCGTTCCAGGCCTCTGTGGCTTCCCCGAAGGTTGGCATACCCCACTCCTACCTTTGGGGGTTGCAGGACTCTGAGCCTGCACCTGTGATTAAAGGCCCGGACCACAGCTTTGTCCAGATGATGGAGAATTCTGGAATAACAGGGACCTGAGGGGTGCCTGGAAACAATCATGTCTTCCTTAGATGGGATGATGGGGTGCTGGCGAGTCTCAAACCCCCTTTTATCTCTGGGAAATTGCTCGTTTTCTCAGATGCTCCAGGCTCGGCGGCTGTAGCGTACACCTGTTGTCTCAGTCCTTGTGTCTTCCTCTCGCTGCCTGACTGGTCACAGAATGTGGTCAGCGGGGTGCTGAGATGCACCCCACTAGGACACCCTGTGCTGGGAGCAACCAGGCCAGGACCACCCTGTCCTGTCAGGGCCTTATCCCCAACCCAGGTCCCACCCAGGCCTTCTATTACCAGAGTGTCACCCAGCAGAACATTTGCATGTGGTATCCCCAGTGCCCCCGCCTCCATAGGACAGTGGGGCAGCCTTGTTGCTGCCCACTGGCCACAGGACCTTGACTCTGATGTGCCTCCCTTTTCTTGTAGGTACGCCATCCCACCTGAGCACGGCAAGCGCTTGGAGCGGCTGGCCATTGGTAGGTGTCTACACTTGTGGTGGGATGGGACCTGAGATGAGGCAGGTAGGTGGCTGTCCCATGATCCTGCTATATCTATCACCTCTTTCTCCCCCAAGGCGGCTGGCTGCCAGCGCCTGTCTAGTCCCTCAGCTCCAAGCTCAGGGTCTGGCACACTGCTGCCACCTTGCACACGGGCTGCCTGGGCCCTGTCTTCCTCTCAGGACTCATTTCCTGGGGTGATGGCAGAACCTCAGGTTGTGGGTGTCACATGCACAGAAGCCCCTTGCTTGCCCCAGCTGATGGCGGGGGGAGGGGGGCAGCAGGACCTGGATGCTGCAGCTCCACAAGGCTCCCCTCGGCCTGTGTAGTATGCCCTGGCCCAGCTCATCAAGGGACAGTGGGGAGTACAGCTCTCTGTTCTCTATGTATGTCCAAGGTGGGGGTGCTATCCATGTCCTCAGATGATGGGAGGGCAGGATATGGGAGGCAGCAAGCCTGTCACTGGCCCTGGTCACCCACAGTCCATGTTAGATTTTGATGTGGCATCTCAGTACGTAGCCCAGGATGTCCTGGAGCTCACCACCCTCCTGCCTCGGCCTCCTGAGCACTGGAGTGACAGGGGTGCACCCCCAGCTTCCTGCCCGTACTGGGGATGAACCCCAGACCCCTCCTGCCTACTAGACAAGGTGCACCCCACCAGACAGCTGAGTGGGTTTGTCATCCGTTACCTGAAGAGCCGGTCTTGCAAAGGGCCAGGCCTGCTGGTCAGGGGGATCAGCTCAAGGCTGTGGAGAGGTGAGGCGTAGCGAGGACTGGAATGGGCCCAGAGGACTGTCTAGTCACACAGATGGCCTTGGGCCTCGATGGGCAGCCCACTAGAACTTTCCCTTAATACGTTGTCAGCCTTGCTGAGGGGAACACTGTGCAGCATCTGTTGTAGATGTCACTGTGCCCCTTATAAGGGAAGGCTGACCCAGCCAGAGGGCAGAAATGCCACAGCACCAGGCGTGCCAGTGGAGGCCCACACGCCGACATGGATGCCGCCCCATTGTTGTGATATAGATACACGCTTGGCCTTCATGTGAAAGCCAGTGCAGGCCAAAGCCTAAACCTCACGTGTGGTGGGCAGCCCCTCTTGGTCACACCAGGCAGTCCTGGCCCACCATGCTCACGTCTGAATCCTTTGGCTCGTGGCCCCTTTCCTTCTCAAAGCCAGCAGTGCAGTGTTCCTCCGTCTCTGCCTCCCACCCTCTCAGGACTGAGTGCCAACATGGGAGCCTTCGGTGATCCAGCTCAGGATTCTCAGCCACCCCCGCCCCCCACCGTGGCCATGACTCCTTTCTGGGGCCAGCAGGGCATGTGGGCAGCAACTTAGCATCCCAGACCTCAGGGGCCAGGGAGGGGAGCTGGTAGGGCTTCAGTCCTGAGGCTCCAAGTGGCTTCTTAAACCTGCCCTCATCACGTACTCCTGGGAGAATGGAGCACCTTAGAACCCCGGGAAGGACTGAGCCATCAGCCAGGGAAAAGTGGAGGCAGAGGGATGCAGGATGCAGGATGTGTGACACAGTCAGTGGGAGGCTGCCTGCAGCTTTGCAGCCCTGCCTGCCTCTTGGGGCACACGTCACCTGTGCCCCACAGAGCTGGGCAGAGCAGGCTCTAAGTTGGCTCTGAGAATGAATAGTTGTGTGGCAAATGGGCCAGGGGAGATGCAGGCTGCGGGGACCACATTAATGTGGGGGCACTAATCATTTACAACTTGAGCCATCATAGAGCTTTAATGGGAGCTACTTAAGCCAAGCATTACAAAGAGGAAGTGAGCCGCTTCAGTCCCTTCCAGAACCAGCTGTTGTCTCCTGCTCAGAGCCTCCTGCCTTTACCCAGGGCCTGTGGACTGTGCCATGCATGCCTATGTACTTGGGGACACATGTGCACACACGTGAATGCATCACATGTACACATTTGTATGCACATACTTGCCCCTTTGAAGCACACACCCACCAGGGGCATGTTTGCCTGGAGGCCAGGACAAGTGTCTGAATAGACTTCTGGAAGGTTCCGAAGTTCTGCCACCCCCATGTACCACTCCCCCCACACCATGGGCTGCTGTGTCCCTTGCTGTGGCATGTTTCAGGGTGGACAGGTGTGTCCCATGGTGAGCAACACACCCCGCCACACCCCCTGCCCTTTGCCTCCCCAGGCCTGTGTTGCCTGCACAGCCAATGGAAGCTGGGATCTCCTGTGGTGTGGGCTCCAGGGGCCATGGCCAAGCCCCAGCAGACTCCCCCAGTTGTGCAGGAATGTCCCTTCCATGGGGCCTGTGCTCTACCCCAGGGGCCAGCTCCCAGGGGACTAAGGCCAGGATGTATGGTGGGGTCCCTTGGACTTGACAGCCTTGCAGTCCCCGACTCCCTAACCCCAGGCAGTTGAAACTTCTGCTGAGAAGCAAGGATCCCCATGAGACCTCAGGCTGCTCCATCCTGTGGCCACAGGCAGCTCAGACTGGCCCTAGCTGAAAGGATAGAGGGATCCTGGCCTCTTGACTGTCTGGTGTGTGACCTGCAGAGCACCCCCATTGTGCAGCTGTGTTGTGGTCACTTGGTGGTATCTTGAGCCCAACCCCTGTTCTGGGATCTGGGGGCGGGGTCCTTGAGGGAAACACACCCTATCCTGTGGTCTTGGAACACGGCTCCTATGGGGGCTGCTGCTCCAGTGGCTGCAGAGACCATGTCTAGGGTAATGTGGTGGACTATGCCTAGCAACTGGGAGGAAAGGCTTCTATTGAGCCCTGCCCTTTGCCTGGGCACTGGAGTGACCACAGCTCCTGTCTGCCCACTGTGGGGCAGGGGCCTGGCTAGCTCCAACCAGAGGTGGGCCACGCTGTGGTACACCAATGGCCCAGGTTGCAGCACTGCCCCGAGCCCCACAGAGGTCGAGGTCACAGTGTGTGCCTCAGGAGGCTGCAGCCATGCATTGGCCTCAGAGCAACCCCGCTGTCTCCATGCAGGTTTCTTCCCTGGGAGCTCACAGGGCTGTGACGCCTTCCTGCGACACAAGATGACCCTCATCTCACCCATCATCCTGAAGAAATATGGCATCCCCTTCAGCCGGGTGCGTAAGGGGCCCAGAGAAGATTTTAGAAAAGCGTTGGGTAGAGAGGCCCACTGATCTTTGCAGGGAGGACTGTGACTGGGCGGGGGCTTCACTTGTCCCCATACTCCATGGAACCCCCCAAATGTGGCTACCTGGGGCATCCAGCAGGTCCCCCCAGGCAGAGGAGCCTGGCCAGGAAGCCAGTGGTGGCCGGGTGGTCCCCTCTTGCTGGGAGCCTAGTGCCAGCTGCTCATGGCACCTAGGGCCATGGAGTACTTTTGAGTTTATCCAGTTCCTGCTAGGGTGCTGCGACACTTGAGATGTGGGCTGGGAGGTTGGAGTGGTAGAGCAGATCTCTCCCTGCTCCCAGATTGACAGGCACCCTGATTTTGCAGACCCAGGACCTGAGGTGTCTTGGGACCCCAGGAAACCCCACCTGGACCGTCCACTCCATCTCCTTCCCGTGATGGGTGTGTGAGGCCAGAGGGTACAGGCTGGAACCTTCTGTGTGCCCTGCATAGATGTGGGACCAGGCCCTGGGGATGGGAGAAAGAAGCCTGTGGAGCCTCTTCCAGAGGCTTCTGTGAAGAGCAATTTGTCAGCTCAGCGGCTCTGATGAGACCCTGACTCCTGCCTCACAGGGAGTGTCAGCGAGTGTGAAATTGCCTCTGACATTTCAATCAGGCACCGGCAGTAGGCGGCTGTGTCCCCCGCGGGCACTGCCCTCAGCTACAGCTCTGAGAGACACAGATGCCCGCTGGCACAAGACAAGTGAGACGTGCCTACTTTATACCTGCTTGTGAATATTCTCCAGGGTGGTGCTTTGTGGATTGGGACACATGTGGACAGAGCTGCTGGCCTGTCCTCCTGGGCAGCATCTGTGCCTTGTGCGTCACTCACACAGCACCTGACCTGAGCCAGCTGCCTCTGGTCACAAAAGGGCTGCCGACCTCTGGGCAACTGAACTCCCCTGCTCCTGCTCTGTGTGCCCTAGGCCTGGCCTCAGGCTGCCTGTCCACAAAGCAGCCACAGGCCAGAGTGGGGATGAGGCCTTGGGATGGAGGACAGGCAAGGTGAGTGCCCCCTCATGAGCAAGGCGTGGGGCCCACATCCAAATTCCTGCCAGTTGTTCAGCACACTGCTGAGTCTTCATAATGGTCTTCACTCTGCTGAGAAGGAAAAAGTGCTTGATGGCAGACTCGTTAATAATTAAGTGTGGATTTCTGTAATCTGCCACCGACTTCTCCATTTATACTGTTGGAGCTTGAGGAGGACCACCGAGTCTCCACTTTCTCCTTAGCCGGCGTCCTGGCTGTTGATGGCTCTGCTGTGCGTCCATCATCGGATACCTCTGATTCATCGTCAGGGTCTGTTGATGGCAGGATGAGGACAGTGTGGCAGCTCTATGCAGTTGCTCTGACGGGAGTGTGCGGTAGCACCTGTGTGGTTTGTGGAAAGGGCTGAGGTTGCCTGAGCCTGGCTCCTCAACATTGCTCTGCTTGGGCACTAGTGAGACCTCATGGGTTGCTGGCTACGTCCCCAGAAGGCACTATGAGCCTGCGCTCTGCCGACCACATCTGCAGAAGGACCAACAGCAGGGCCGGTGGTGCCCAGGCCAAGACCCGTGACGTCTCATAAGCCACAGCTCCTTTCTCTTCTCCAGGAGCTCAGGGCACAGCAGGCGGAAGCGGCCGAGAGTGCTGAGGCACTGCTGCTGCCAGGGACATGCATCACACCCTGCTCGCGCCCCCTGCCAGTGGCTGCTGCTTGGACAGGAATTTAAATATAGAACTTAATGCCCACTGACTCCCCTTGGTTTGTGCAATTAGTTACATGAAAAGAAAAATATTCTCTGCGTTCTTGAGGCCTGGCTCTGCTCTAGCCACATCGATGTGGATGGGTTTTTGAGGCCATGTCTGGCGCTGGGGTCCCCCACCTTGGCACCCATCCTCTGTCCCCAGGGTTGCTGAAGAGGTCTGGTGGCATGGGCTTGGCAGCCTCTGAGGGACACAGCTCAGCTGTCTAAGGTGAAGATGGGCCCAGAGGACAGGGCAGTGTAGAGCTGTCACTGTGTGACTCTGCAAAGAGGATACCAGAGAAGCCAGAGTGACCAGGGTCTCAATATGAGCCAGGCTGAGAGGACAAGGCCTGCCCAGGGCCCTGGAACCTTCTTCTTGGGCACATGCCAAGCTCAGGAATCTAGATGTATGCCCGGCACTTCTTTCCAAGCTCAAAGTCATCAAAGAGGTGGAGGGTTGCATCCACAGTCTCCCTGAGGAGCAGCACCCACAACAGTGATGTCATGCAGGGCGCCTGCACAAACTGGGGCCTGTGCTAGAGGCTGCACCTGTGGCCTGAGACGTGGGCTGCAAGTGTGGGTAGTGCAAGAGGCGGACCCTGCAAGGTGCATCAGAGCCCTGAGCCTGGGTCTGTCAGCTGTGGATGAGTGGCCAGGCCATGAAGGTCATAGTGCAGGTGTCTTTACATAGCCCAGGCTAGCCTCAAATTCATGATCCTCCCACCTCAGCCTCCTGAAGGCTAGGCTAGCAGGTGTGTGCCACCACATCCTTACTCCATTTTTTTTTTTTTTTGGTCTTTTTGAGACAGGGTCTCTCTGTAGCCCCAGCTGGCCTGGATTCACTATGGAGACCAGGCTGCCTGGAACTCACAGAGATCTGCCTGCCTCTGCCTCCTGAGTGCTGGGATTAAAGGCGTGTGCCACCACGCCCAGCTTCCATATTCTTTTTTGTTTACTTATTTTTTGTTTTGTTTTGCTTTGTTTTTTTGTGATAGAATTTCCTGTAGCCCCAGTTGGCCTAGAACTCATTATGTAGACCAGGGTGCCCTCACTCTCATAGAGATCTGCCTGCCTCTGCCTCTTGAGTGCTGGGATTAAAGATATGTGCCACTATGCTTGCCACACCCCCTTTTTTTTTAAACATGTGTTTGTGTGTGTGCCATGGTGTGCATGTGGAGCTTAAAGGACAAGCAATGGGAACCAGTTTTCTCTTTCCATCATGTGGCACCTGGGAATTGAACTCAGGTTGTCAGGCTTGGTGGCAAGCACCTTCACCCACTGAATCCTCTCACCAGCCCTCACCCTCACATTCCTTATGGGTCAGGCACAAAGCCTATCTGGACCCCAGGAGTTCTGAGCTCCACACCGTGTGGAGCCCCTCTCCCCCACCAAGCTCATGTGAGCTGCACCCCTCACACTGTCCCTTCTCATGGGCCTCTGTCTCCTTCGTAGATCACACAGGAGGCGGGAGAATTCATGATCACATTCCCCTATGGCTACCACGCAGGCTTCAACCATGGCTTCAACTGCGCAGAGTCCACCAACTTTGCCACCCTGCGCTGGATCGACTACGGCAAAGTGGCCACACAGGTAGGTACTGTGTCACAGTGGGCAGTGGGGAGTGGTCCATGCTCACCTGGGTTTGTGTCCAACATCTCTGACAGCAGGTGCTAGAAGGTTCTTTCCCTTGTAGACTCTAGTGGAACAGGCAGTGCACATGTGGTGCCCACTGGCCCAAGGCTGGTGTTGAGCAGGTGGCCTGTGCATGCTGCACCACCACAGCCTGGTACTGTGATATCGTAGATGGGCCAGGCTGGCATCAGGTGATGGGACACAGAGGAGGCCGTAGGCCTGGGAGAGGCAGGTCTACCTGGCCCCATAGTCTCTGCAGGTGCCCCTGGTACTGGTGGCTGCCTGAGGGTTGCCCGTTTAAGCTTATTCTTCCCTGCTGTGACTTCCATCTTGCCTCCTGCTTGTGTGGCTCTGAGGCCACAGGCTCCTCATGGCACAGAGAATGCAAAAGCCCTGGGTGGTGCCTTCTGATGACGAGGGACCTGGGCACTGTGTGGCCATGGCAGCCTCTAAAGGTGGCCTGCTGGACCAAAGCTCACGTCAAGAATGGTCCTGCCAAAGAGGGCTGGCTTGGAACTTGCAAATCCACTTGCCTCTGCCTCCTGAGTGCTGCGGTTAAAGGCGTACCTCAGTGGGCTCCCTTTGCACCTATCGGATTTGTTTCTTCTGTTTTGAACCGCTGAGCTCAGGCTGTGTGGAACCAATGGGCTCCTGCCTCAGCCTCGCCAAGCCGGGACGACAGCTGTGTTGGCATGTGCCACTGGTTAGCTTGTCTGTGTTGACAGCTTTTCTTTCCTGCATGCCTGTGTGTGCATGCACGTGCGTGCATGTGTGTGACGTCTCACAGCACACATGTGGCAGTCAGCAGGGGCTCTGGTGTTTGCCGCAGGATGTCTTGGCTGCCCCCAAGCTTCCTGGATTCTCCTGTCCCCGTCTCCATCTGGCCACAGTTTGCCACATCACCAACTCTCAATTTTATGTGGGTTCTGAGGATCTGAACTGGGGTCATGAGGCTTGCGTGGCAAGCACTTTCACCTACAGAGACCCCGGCAGCCGCTCCCCTCCTCTGCCTGGGGTTGTTACCTGTTGTGGGTCTTGGAGTGAAGCCAGGGAATGGGGCAGCTGTGCCCAGTCCCATGCTACCCAGGTGGTACTTAGAGGGGAGGCTGATCTCAGTGGTGTTGGGTCATCACCGGGTAGTTTTGCTGCAGACTGGGGGAGGCAGTGTCATCTGGTGGAGCCCACATCTGACCTGAGCGATTAAACATCAGGGCAGTCACTTGTGACAGCCACTGTGTGGCCTGTGCTCGGCCAGGGTGGGGGGAGCACCTGCAGCAGACTGAGCTATGAGTGGCGCAGCCTAGACTAGGAGGGCTATGGTGGGCGCCGACAGGGACTGCCCTGGTAGTGGAAGCAATTCTGAGTTCAGCCAAGTGTTCACAAGCCACATTTGGGGAGTGCCGCCTGCAGTGGTTCCACGCTCACATTGTCGGGCAGCGTAGTGTGAAAATACAGAACAAGTAGGCCGCGACACTGCTGGGGACAGTAGTGGGAGGTGGGGACATGGCGTCCTTGCAGGGTGGCCTGCTCAGGGTGGGCTCCTGAGCCTCACCGTGCCAGGCAGCACGGCACCTGGCTACATGCAGAGCCCCTGCCCTTGTTGTCTCCTGGGCTACTTAGTGTTTGTCACCTTGACACTGACTAGCGACACCTGGGAAGTGGGAACTGGCTGAGGAATGACCTCTATTGGCTTGGCCTGTGGCTGCTTCTGTGGGGCATTTTGTTGATGGCTGATCAATGAGGAGGTCCAGCCCCATGTGGGCAGTGCACACCTGGGCAGGTGGCCTGGGCTGTTTAAGAAAGGGCTGCACAGGTCAGAGGAGTCAGTGAGCCCCTTCCTCCCTGGTCTCTGCTGCAGCTCCTGCCCCAGCTCCTCCTCGAGTTCCTGTCCTGGCTTTGCTCCTGACAGACTCTGACTTAGAAATCACAGCAATGGAAAGCAAACTGGGACTGTCACCTTCCCAGGAGTCCCCAGAGTGTCAGCAGATGGGAGCTGCTGTGTGCTGCCCAGTGTCGCGGGGCACTGGCCTCCGTTTCTGAGGGTCACCAGTTTTCCCTAAGCTCATACGGGCACAGGAGCCACCAGCACAGGGGTCAGGAGCCCACAGCTTCCTCCAGGTGAAGCCCTTCCTGCAGCCTGTCTCCCCCCTCCCGAGACCCCAGGAAGGCCACTGGCTGGTGTGGTCCGCTGCTCTGTCCACCTGGAGCTCCAGGTGTTCCTTGTCCCTTCTCCCTTTCTGGGGGCTGTACTTCAAGTCTGAAGCCCAGGAATTGACCCTCACCACGGCCCTGTGAGCGTGGACCAGCCCATACATCAGGTACCAGAGTCCCGGGGCAAGGGGCGTCATCAGGCTGCAGGGGGTAGAGCTGTGGTCACAGGACATGAGAATAGCAAGACAGTCATGTCCTGGAGATTGGGGGGCACCGCTGCTCAGCTACCTGCAGCCAGTGGAGGCATATGAGGAAGCACAGCTTCCAGAAAGGGAAACTGAGGCACACAGCAGCAGGAGGCAGAGTGTGCACCCCTTCAGCTGTGTGCAGGGGGAGGAAGCCTGCCATGGGTGTGAAGAGACTAGGGATGCTGAGAACCACATGCCAACTTCTCTGCACACATTCTGCTGCACGCATGTGGCCCTGGCTCCATTTCCAGCACCCCATAAACCAGGTGTGGTGGCGCACACCTGTCATTCTAGCACTCGGGGGGTGGAGGCAGGAGTTCCGGGCTGTTCTCAAATACATAGTGAATTCCAGGCCAGCCTGAGTTACAACAGAGTCAGCCCTCACCAAGCATAGCCCCCAGAGCTGTGGTGAGCTTGAGCCCCACTCTTAGCCCAGGCCCTCCAGTCCCCTTCCCTCAGCATCCAGCCCTGCTGAGAAGATTCCAAGCTGTGCCCGGGGTTATCCTGTGATCCCAGCACCCAGAAAGCTAAGGCGGAAGGGTTGCCAAGAGTTTGGAGCCAGCCTCTGTTAATAAGCAAGACCCTGTTTCAGAAACACAACATGGAATCTGGAAGGTTCTGCAGGCAGCCATGTCATGTTTCCCCAAACCCTATTTAGACAGAAGGGCCTTGAATGAGTTCAGAGCTCCCCCCGACCTCTACCCCATGTGCCCCTGTACAGACCCCACATGCCGTGAGCCCCTCTATAGACCCCACATGCCGTGTGCCCCTCTATAGACCCCACATGCTGTGAGCCCCTCTATAGACCCCACATGCCGTGAGCCACTGTACAGACCCCACATGCCGTGCGCCCCTGTACAGACCCCACATGCCGTGCGCCCCTGTACAGACCCCACATGCCATGCGCCCCTCTATGGACCCCACATGCCATGCGCCCCTCTATGGACCCCACATGCCGTGCGCCCCTGTACAGACCCCACATGCCGTGTGCCCCTCTATAGACCCCACATGCCGTGTGCCCCTGTACGGACCCCACATGCCGTGTGTCCCTGTACGGACCCCACATGCCGTGTGCCCCTGTACAGACCCCACATGCCGTGCGCCCCTCTATAGACCCCACATGCCGTGCGCCCCTGTACAGACCCCACATGCCGTGTGCCCCTCTATAGACCCCACATGCCGTGAGCCCCTGTACAGACCCCACGTGCCGTGTGCCCCTCTATAGACCCCACATGCCGTGAGCCCCTCTATAGACCCCACATGCCGTGCGCCCCTGTACAGCCCCCACATGCCGTGCGCCCCTCTATAGACCCCTCATGCCGTGCGCCCCTGTACAGACCCCTCATGCCGTGTGCCCCTCTATAGACCCCACATGCCGTGCGCCCCTGTACAGCCCCCACATGCCGTGCGCCCCTCTATAGACCCCTCATGCCGTGCGCCCCTGTACAGACCCCTCATGCCGTGTGCCCCTCTATAGACCCCACATGCCGTGAGCCCCTGTACAGACAGCTTGTTTTGGGCTCAGGCCAGCAGCTAGTGGACTACTCACATGGTCTTAGAGCCAATCGGAACAGAGAAGGTACGGTGGCTCTGCTAAGGTCACACAGCAAGGCCAGTCCCAGCCCATCCTCCACCTTCCCAGCCTCTTTCCCTGCATGGACTGTGAGTCTGCAGGAGGGTCCAGGATGATCCTGCCAACCCAAGTCCCCAGGCCTGCAGCAGCATTTCCCTAGTGACGTCAAAGGTCTCAGCTCCTCAGGAGGGACTCACACCTGCCCAGCCTCCCACTTACCCTTGGGCCACATGTCATGTGGGGAGTACAGCCTATACCCTGCAGGCTGGCTGGTCAGTCTTTACCTGGGACTCCCAGCATTGCCAGACTGCCTGCCAGGCAGGAACTGACCATAGGGGAGACAACACGATTCGGGCTGGGCCTGGCTGTGCACTCTGCTGGCCTCTGTCCCACCATGGTTGCTGTTGGATAGGAAATTTTCACATGTTGGCAGGTGCAGATATCTGAGGAGGTAGAGGCTTCCTCAGGGCTGGACAAAGGTGGCCCACTTGGCACGGTGCTACCTGTGTCCCCCATGGCAGGCTAGTGGCAGCTGACACCGATGGGGGCGCCAGCAGGATGGGGCCAAATGAAGCTGGGCATATTGATGAGATGAGAGCTGGCCGTGGCCGTGCACAGATGGTGGCCCTTTCGGTTGAGTGTACTGCTCCTGCCATTAGCCTGCAGCCTTGGCCCAGGGTCCAAGGTGAGATCCTGCCTCACTGAGCCCTGATGGATGGATGTCGAGCATGGCCGGCCCTGAGCCTCTATGAAATGCTTTCTCCTTGTTCCTCGTGGCATAGCTTCCCGTCAACTCAGCCCTGTTTCTAAGCTCGTGTGCACCGGGAGTCTGGAGGCACAGGGGGCAGGGGGCCGGGTCCTGTGTGCAGCACCAGCACTGGGTGGGTTCGTTTTCTCTTTTAAACATTTATTTTAAAAAATATTATTTTTGAAGTAACTCTTTTTATTTTTATTTTTTTATTTTTGTCTTTTTGAGATAGGGTCTC